TGCTGGTTGATCGTGGACGCTCAACAGGATTTGCGTAGGCGTCAGGGGTTGAATACCGATCCGGAATACGGCCGCGGTGGGATCGTTCCTCGTCGAAGTCGTAGTCGTCAGATCGCTTGTCGCCACGTCGTCTCATACGGACGTCGCGCCTGATACGGACCCGGCAGCCTTGCTCTGCGATGATGCGGCTCAAGGAAGTGCTGGTGGTCAGACCGGGGAACTTCTTGGCACTGAAAACCGTGAACGGGACCGAGACGACTTCGAGACGGAAGTTTAGGAATGATTTAGGAATTGATGGCTTGCCCTTCATCATCGGTGACCGAATTGGTGCACTTTCATCCGCATCCTTGCTGTCCTTGGTCTCCTCGTACAAATGGAAGCTTAACCGATAAACACCCTCATGACGGACGGAAAGGTCGGGAAAGATGAAGTATCCAGCCTGAGACGGGCGATCCAAGTATGCCACTCCCGCCACCGGGACACCTGTGAGAACGGGAAACGTCGGGGTTGGGGCAAGCCGTCCTTGCGCCATAGGGCGGGCAGTTTCTAGCGTAGCAAACAGGAAGAAATTGGCGTTGTAGGCGAAGGTGATATCTGTCTTGTGCACGTCATCGTTCGGATCGGACTCGAATATACGCAACTCGACGACCGGTGGGGGATCAACAGGGCGACGGTCCGCAGATGCTAGATACAGTCAGACATGGTCAGCCTGGCCTCCAATAATGTCCGCATTGCGTGCAGGGAGTGATGCGTACATTTGGCGCCGGCACCGCATGCTCTTGCACGTTCGGGCTGTTGCATAACATTGAGCTTGTATGTGATTCTTTTGCCTTCACGAGTAATCCGGCTGACGGAATGCTCCGTCTCGTTCACCGGAGGCGAAAGGGGAGGTCTAGTGGCCATAATGTACAGAATGCTCGATTGATCTGCTGTGACATTAGCATTCCCATTCCTAGCCCGGTGCGCTTGCCGCGGCAGGTAATATGATGGCAACCTGCTCCAACCACCCAGTACTTACTTTGGTCTAAATTGAACAGTAACTATATCGAAGCAGGCATTGAAAAGTTTTGCTGATTAATTTGACGGTGATTGTCGTCGTTGTCGTCCTTTGCCAGTCTCTAGGCGCGACCGAGCGTTAATTCTATGTAACCGATCCGGCGGTTGGAAGACACAGACAAGACTTGGCGAGTGGTCAGGTTGGGATTGATATCGGTCGCTCCAAATTATAGCGGGTCGAATGACAACATGAAAAGTTCGACTATAACTTGAGAATAGGAAGCAAGTGGATGGGAAGAAGTTGGGTCTGTCGTGGGTGGATAAGCGACAGGATGGCCGATAGCCTAGCAATTGACCCCAGCGGGCTATGGAGAAGGAAAGGCAAGAGAGAGAGAGGAGAGGACGGACGGGAAGGGAGAGAGATTGGAGATGGATGGGGTCGATGGAGGGATGGATACCACCAAGAAGAAGCAGCGTGACCGACAAGAAGAGGGTGAAGAGGGAGGGGGGGAAGAAGAGATACAGAGAGAGAGAGAGAGAGAGAGGAAGAGTAGGAGGGTGGCAGAGTCAGCCGTAACGAGATGGTTCGAAAAGGCAGATGAGGTGCGCTATAGCGACTATACCTACCATGGACCACACCCACTTTGGCGGGTGGAACTGGGACTGAGAGACTCACACAACTTGACCTTCTGGCTGGGTAAGCCGGCTCCGAGGGTGTGGGTGTAATTGGGTAAAATTACCCTGCTCGGCGGACGGCCCACTTCCGGGTCTGGCTCTTACAATCTTTTTTGAAGGTACGACTTTCTCCCACACTAAAAACCCCAAGTCTATTTATCGACGGCAATGAATAGCTTCTCTACTACTCACTTACGAAGCATCCACTTACCTTACTTATAAAATAGTCCGGCTTCAAGGTATGAAATTCTCCTGGAGAAGGGGGGATTATTTAAATTGATCTCACAGACTACTTACTTACTTTGTAATTCTCCACGCCACCATCGTGACTACTAACTACAAATTAAAGTGGTCATTCGTCATACCATAAGTAGTATTCGGTTTTAATACATCTCTGGCACATTATTATTTTCACGTACTTAACTTCCCATAGATTACCCGGTCACCCCCCAAGGATGAAGGAGACTAAATCTGCGCTACTGAGCCGGAGGGGTGGGTACTGGGCCGGACTGAAAAGGAGATGGAGCCAGAAGAGGGGAAACGCAGCCCAGCCGATCCACTGGGAGGCCACGCTCCTGCTTTAGCCCAAGTGCTAAGGCAGCGGTTAGGTTCAATGGGACATTGCAATCGCAACTGCGACCCTCTTGGCTTGCCTTCTTCCTTTTTGTATAGGAGAAAAAATAAAATGACAGAGAAAAAATCATTTGAGAAGGGGGAAAAAAAAATGCAAAACTAATCCAAGAAAGGCAAAATGAAATACAGGGATTAATTTCCCAAAAGAGCAAACAAAAAATACTTTACAAATCTTATCGGTAGTCGCTGAGGGCAGTGGGTCTGGCTCTGGGGGCTTTTCCGGCCGGGCGGGAAGGGCAAAGGTCCGTGAATCTCAAGAGAGACAAAAGAGGGGGGAACGACGTCTGTTTCGTATTTGGGAGGAAAAAGAGAAGGGGGCTTAGTTCGGATATCTGATACTAGGAAGGTGCCCTTTTTGGAACCGGCAAAATATTTACAGGCCTTGCAATTTACGAGGTCTGAACTCCCTGGTCGGATCTTCTTCATGAAATAATTAACAACGACTACTAGTAAGTAGTAGTTAGGGTCGACTGGGATGAATAAGTAAGCCTGCCTCTTGGAATACCCAGGTGCTAGCTAGCGACATAAACAGCTTAGTGCACTGCCATCCTTGATAAGCGACGCAATTTGAATGGACGAAACTTAATCGAGGCGAACCTTCTCAAATTGCAGCTGGGCAAAGGGGATCCTGTCGGCATCCTAGTACTTGGTAGATGCTCGTAACTGCCAGTTGCAAGCGCTCAGCTTAGGCCGGCAGGCTAAACTAGACTCTAGGGGGTTGTCCGGAAGGGCGATCTCTCGCGTCAAACTGGAAGGTGATTTTCTGGCGGTCGCGTCGCTTCCAAATCGATGGACATTATGGGGCACCCGGTCGGCATTAATGCTATTGGGGGTTTTTTCCTGAGATCTGTAGCTTAGGAAAGTCCCGGCACGGAGAAGAGACCGAGAGGCACGTCTGAAAAAACTGGAGAAGAAGCCCGCTTTTCCCCCCTTCCTCCCTAACTTACAAAGCTCTTACTTTATCCGGGTGCTCTCTATAATTGGGAATGTTCTGCAGCACGGACTTTACTCCCTCGAGATGGATCAATAATTCATACGAATAATCATCAGACTGGGGACAATAATGGGTGGATGACCATCCAGAAGAAGACTTGACCTTAGTCGTATGGCAAAGATGACTTTTGTCTTTTTACCTTTCAGCTGGGAGTAGGAGTGAGTTTACGGCACGGCGTAATTAACCAGAGTGTTGGTAACCCACCGGACTTCGATCCAGGATGGGCTCATGACTGATCATTGGATTCCGACAACGCTTCACATGAGACAAGTGCTTACCCGACTCGACCCCCTGTCAGTCACGTATAACACGCTGTATTATTGGGCTCGCAATTACCCAGTCCAGCGGGCCGGTTGCTTATCCCAAATGCCTGGGAGCTGGGAAAGGAAGAGGAGCTTTGAAGGATAGCGGGGTTGGTCAATGCGCTCTTTGTCTTCTTTCCATCATCGCTAGCCTTTTTGCCAATCCTGCAGGTTTGCGTGCTATCTATCTGCTGCACTGGGGATGGGCCAGTCTCAAGAGAGGGTCGGCAATCCTGGGGAGGGTTTGCCCCATTTGTCAGTCGGAATCGAACGTTTTGAAATTATGCTACTCCGTCCTCTTGTGCGATCTCAGGATTCATTAATAGTAGGCATAGTTGCTTACTTTGGCACTTTCCCCAAAGCGGCCTGTCACTGGACCACTGGTTGGTGAGTAGCCCTGGGATAATTATGGCACGCTTTTTGAGTTTGGCTAGGTCCTTCAGTACGCTGTGTGCTCCGAGCCTGGAGCCAATAATCTCGAGATAGGAGATATTCGAATCTTCCCCTGCTATTCAAGGCGTGAGACGGTCGCCAAAGATGACTACTACTAGTTATCGTATCAATACGGCACCCTACTCATTGGTACCTAATTAGGGCTGGCCACATGCGAACTACGATGCAGCAATGCAGGTTCCATGCTCTTATTTCTCTTTCTCTTTTCTCTCATCTAGGTAAGCAGGCAGTCATTCGTGAGGAGCAGCTGGGTGGCAGATGAGCGAATGACAATCGTCCGTCCGTCAATGGTGATTTCCGGTACCGGCCGAAGGCGAACCAAACAACAATCCGAGAAAAGCAAATCTGGCACCGATCGAAGCACTGACGATCTTAACTGAAAACTACAGGAGCCTGGGATGTGAAATCCTGTCGCAGCCCCCTCCAAATAAAATTGGATCTGCACGAAATGGCCTCTAGTAGGGAAGCCCGGACTGTTCACGGTTTTCAGGGTTTATTCCCTACTTAGTGACCAACTAAGCAGGTCGTCAGCTCGACAATGGGGGGAAATGCCCCAGCCCCGATCGCTGAACACCCGACCCCGAATCGTTGGAGAATTTCTTTGGTCCTTCAGGTAATTTAGCCTTATGAGCCTGGCGCCTGCAGGCCCATCTAGGCCGTGGTCTTGCCTGCTTGGGAATAGTATCGGATCGCAACCTGCGAATGACGATGGCTGCTCAGCAAATCGGAAGCTGAGACTCCACACCCTCCTGCTGTGCCCACCTGCGACATGATTCGACCACCGTCAGCGACTCCACTGAAACTGTCCTGAAAGGGAAAAATTCAAGCGTCAGGCGCCGGCTTTGCCTGGTCCGTCCACCCGTTTGGCTATGGCCCTTGACTCATGAAAACCAGCCCCGATCATCGTGTGCCGTACTGTGGTAAGTAAGTCGGATGGAGGATGGATGGAATGGATGGCTGGATTGTGGAAGGTTTCATTCTGCCCCACCCAGACGGTCCGCACCGAATACAGCGGCCCCATTCCAACCAACTTGACAGTTTGGTTTAGCACCTCGGCTTTAGGCAGGCATTGTCCTACATTCCGCCAGACGAAGAAGCAGTTGAAGACAGGCTACAGCATCCTCATCTGCTTAGTATGTACTATATACTATCTGGACCTAATAGGACTGCGACAAGATAGGGGATCACATTGTTTTGGAGCTCTCGACGGTAGGTCGGAACGTGGATATCCGTTCTGTAACATACTCAGGTGGATTAGTATGCAGTTCACATACTCAGCTTGAAGCTAACTAGTTAAGTATGACAGGGTCGAACCGACGTTTACCCTAACCAATATGAATAGACTTGGTTCCTCAGGGGTAGCTGTGACAAGTTGCGGGATAACGGTGTGATGGACACCTCGTGTACCTGCTATGGTGCAACCACCAACCAGTGCTCCTACTACTACTGCTGCTACTGCTGCTGCTACTCTCCGTACTACTCAAGTGCTACTATTTTAGTGGCAGGCGGACTGACTGACTGTACCCTCCTGCCGGAAAAGAGAAAAGAAGAGAGACACAGAGAGAGTCCCGGGCCCACACCGCACCTTCCCCGGCAGAATCTAGTCGATTTACGGGCGCCTATCACCCCTGCGTTTCGGACTGGAATCTCAATGGGGACTTTTCTCCGGGAAGATCTCCATGTCAATCACTCTAATCTTCTCCGTCTCCTGCTCTACCTGGGGATCATAATGAGGATCAATTTATGGTTAGCAGGTATAGTCTCGGCAGTTTATAGGGAGAGTAAGTCTGGGATCATGTCATGTTCTCCCACAGGGGGCAAAAAAGGAAGAAAAATAGAGTGGGGAAAACCTAAGAAGCCACCGAAAAGCGATGATGACAGCGTGCATCGGCCACCACCCACTTGCATCGACAGCCTGCTTCTCCTGTCATTAATCCTTCATTCATTCAGCAGCAACTAGCTGCGACTAGTACATGGTAGGTAAGTAGGTGCCTTGTGCTCCCATCAACCACCACTACCACCACCGTCGTCATACCAAATTGATACCGTTGCTTACGTGCGTGCCGCCGAGACATGGCACCACCGTCCGAGCGACCCATTCATTCTGCATGAGTTCCAGAAAGCTGCCGGATCCGTGCCGGTGCATGATAGCACTACTAGACCGTTGAGTTTCTCTCTGGTCATTGACGTGTAATTTCACCTAAAGTATGTGCATCCAGGCCGATTAACGTTACCAGTCGAGGCATCCAAGGCAAGCATGTTGGACGCATTCCGTGCTGTGAACTTCGCCAGCACTCTGTCTTTTGGGTCCGGATGCCTCTGCTGCATAAGCCGAGCGTGCGCTATCGAGAGAAATTGGCCAGTAACCACCCTGTCGGGTCTACCCGCATGGATCTTCCTGGTTGGGCTGCATGGGTCATGTGTGGTGCTGGGTGTCTGGTATTTGGGGAGGCGTAACAAGATAGCGTGAGAGAGAGCAAGCGAAAGACAAGTTACCGGGAAATCGGGCACATACTTGAGCAGGTCCTTCCTGAGATTATCGCATTGATACGGTTATTTTGATCTCTGGAAACATCATCACCAGACGGGTTTACACACACACAAGTACTTTGCGAGCCACGACGCTAAGCCTAGCTAGCCTGCTTGGGGGGAAACGGGGCGGCGATGTGGCAATGCCACCTCACCACACCATCGCAATTATTGCTTTCAAACCCTCAGAAACTCTCCTATAGACACTCTTCTGTCGCATTATCTTTTCCATCCCCGAGTGTATCGGACGGCGACATTCGGTCCTAAGCAAGAGCGTCTGTTGTACAACCTTCATTTTGAGGCGCTCTCGGGGATTAAAAAGCCACCCACCGAGCTCAAAACTGAGTGGTGGTCGGCAAGACGTGTGTGCATTCCTCGCATCTGCAGGAGACTCATCCCTGCCCTCTAACCACATCGATCGTGGCAGACTACGGATTACTTTACGAATGGTCCCCGATTGCCTCCTCCTCTTTCTCCCCTCCCCAGTTGAATTTTCTCCGCCAAATTACATACCGAGGCTCGAGTCCAAGAGCTTCTTCCCATCCCATAATCAGTAGTGGGGATGGATCCGGTAATAGCAAGGTATTTCATTCACAACTTACATACTTGGCAGGTCTCAAGGTCTTCCACTGGTGGGTAGATTTGAAGGTCATTGAAGAGATTAGTACACTATGGAGTAGTAGTAGCCATCCGATCACCAGTGACATGACAACGCTAAAAGCAAGATAAAAAAGGAAAGAGTAAAATGAAATTAGTGAAAAAAAAAGAAAAAAGAAACGCACTGACTGAAACCCTCTCGTGGACTAAACTTGAGGTATGAAAAGTATATTACTCCATACCATCCATCCATCCATCCATTCATTCAAATCCCGTTAGCAAATCCCGCGATCCACGAGGCTTAGTATGCAAACAAAAGTACCAGTCCCTCCCAATGCACCTATCTATCTATCTATCTATCCATCCATCCATCTAGGTATGCAACTAACTAGTTACTATTTCCGTAAGTAGGATACTTACCATCATATGCATGATTATAATTCTGCATCTGGCACCTCCATCACCCCCATGATACTGTATAGTTAACACCAGCCCTTAAGCAAGCAAGCGATCGATGCACAAACAAATTACTAAGTATATAGTACGTAAACTGGACTAACGATTGAAATTCTTGCTTCATTGCGTTACTTACTTCTCCTCCTCTAATTACTGCGACTGCTTCTTTATTCTCATCCCTGCTATCCATATATCTATCTATCTATCTATCCATATATCTACGGAGTTACTAAATTGTACGTTTCATTATTCCTTGCGTAGATCTTCATTCAACAGCAACACACCCCCTCCTCCTCTTTTGTAGCTGGGCGATCGGCTTTAATCCTTAGCTTCTTTCGTAACAAAACATCTGATGGAAAAAAAAAAAAATGATAATGAGATAACGAAAATAAAACCCGAAGGATTGAAGCTGATCGTAATGTCTGTGTTTTTTATTATTATGGAAGTTATCCGGATGTGCATACTGAAATATGGATAAATATCCTCATCATTACATAGATACAGAGCTACTAAGATACTACCGAAAGCAAACCGGCTTTACTATTTCTTGGTGCGTCGCATAGTACAGGAATAGCTACAGAGGAGGGCATCTTAGCTTCATCATCATCATTATCCTGCTCCTCCTCATTCATGCTCCACTCCGGAGGAAATAGTTTATCTATCTATCTTTTTTTCATGGCTGTCAAAATATTGAGCACTGCACGGAGCTGGATGTCTCCACCTCCCCATCCGGCCTACATGAGTTAGAGCTATGACTATTAGCTGTAGCTATCTATCAACTAACCAACTATCGTACTTACTTAGTATACACCCCCCCAGAGACACTTAAGCATGTACATAGTCTACTCACTAGGAGTTTGACTAGTCTTATTATGTTCTAGCTGACCGTTATTTTTCTTTTTGCCCTGAGCTACTTACTATACGCGACGCCGTGGTATCCGCGTCCCCACCCAATGTGATGCATCGAGTCCCCTCCCTCCTTTCCCTCCCTCGTATCTTCTCGGGATAAACGGGAACGGGATGTTCCAGATTCTCGCCAATCAGCGTGAGTGGTGAAAAGAATTGCTTGGCTTTTATTCGTATTTTGGAAAAGGTACAGGACGGGCACGGTGTCGGGATTTGAGTGTGCCTCTGGTGATTAGGTTAGAGGCCTTGCCCTTTTCTCTCTGGGTCGCCGTTGAGCTTGGACGCGGGCGCGGGTGCGCTGTTGTCTGTGCGTGCCTGGGCGGCCGGTGCCAAATTCTGGGGTGGGTTTGACTGATTTCTCTGGTGCTGTGTGGTGCAGAGTGGATGCTGTCTCCTTTGCACTGGCAGTGTCTGTACCATGCAGATGGGATAGGGGTTCAACCGACTTCGCTCTCAAAATCGAGGAGATACCGCCAGTTATGCATCACTACACAGTAGTCCAGACCCTCTCAGACTCTTTGAGCCCTCTCAATCGGGTTAGACGTCGCTAGATCGAAATGTGACTATAGGGTTCGATGTCCTGGAATTGGACGCCATTGCGCTCAGTCGTGCTGGAAAACTCTCCCACCAATGAGATGACCTTTCTGGCGCAATATAAAGGTACGGAATTGGGACCTCTTTAGGGTCTCTTCTGCCAAGGCATTCATGATCTGCTTGAGAATATGATGTCTCTTCTCTTCCTCCGCAGTACATGTGAACGAAAGCTCAGCTACCTAACTAGTTGAAAGAGTATCATGCCGTAGACATAGTTGCCTTGTTCTCGACCGGATGCTCTGATAGTCCGTTCAGCAAGGTACCCACCTCTGCAAAAGTCCAGTCTATCTACTGGTCTCCAAGGGTACGGGAGACGACGCATTCCATGCGGCGTCTGACAGCCCGATTCTTTACCAAGCTTGGTGAGGTTAGCTGTAAAGCTCTAGTGCATGTATAAGACCCATTCGGCTTTGCGTGCTTGTGCTTACCCTCGATAGTTCCCTTTGAAGCACCCCTGTAGGGGTGAGAGCATCTTTTCGGGGGCTCTACACGTATGTGAAGCAATTTCTCAAGGGGATAACGTCATGATCTTCCATCGAGGTCTCAGGTCAGCAGGCAGAGACGTCCCCATGATCGGGTCATCAGCACAGCGGTCATGCTTCCAGGTTCAAGACAGCTCCTGGTCAATGCAGATCGGTGTTGAACGGAGTAGATCGATTCCCTTTAGAACCTTCCTTGTTGCTAAGATCAATGCATACTAACCTGAGTGAAGGATCACCTGGGATATTATCAGCAACATCCAAGTGATAGGCGAGAATGACGAGGCTGTATGAGGCGTGGCATGTTTCATGCTACAGTATCTCACTAGCCATAGTTCAGTATCCCTCGTCCAATATCCGAGCAGGGCCTTCATTGCCATATGCCATCCTTACCTACCCCAGAATCATGCTGGAGGATGTTTTAGGTTCCTGACGCAAGGAGCGATGGCCACATACCCATCCGTGTCTCGGCTATGTCCGTCACTGTCAATCTGCTACAATCCTTATGGGTGATTGCGTTTCCATGCTTGCCTGATACGCTCATCCGAGATGCACCATGTGGCTGTACACAAATTCCGTCCCCTTACTTCTTTCATAGTGCCGGTCATTTCACGAATTCCGGCATAACTCGGTATTTCTATGTCCGGATAACAATATAATTATTACTGTACGGTAAGATGGGCAATGTACGTATTGTTTAGGAAGTGTGGGTTCGGAGCATGTATGTTAGTATCAAATGTGGGATAGACATCATGGTTTCCATAGAAGGAAGGGAAACACGCTTACTTTGCCAGCGCATTAACTGATACGGGTGTGCTCCGCGTCACCATTGGATTTCCGTCTAGGACTTGGTACAGGTGTGCAGCTGATGTGTCGCAAGGGTCTGGAAAGGGAGGCACTGTTGACAGTTTGAGAGAATATTTGAGCACAGATGCACCTTATATCCACCATCTTTAGTCGGTAACCAGAGTAGAAGATGCATAGTGGCGTAATTGCGGTTTTGAAGTGTTGTCGACGTCGATCCAAGGCCTCTGACCGAAACTTTGAACTCATTGATGATATTCCTACTTCTAGTCATGGCAACACGTCGTTGTCATGCAAACAGACTGGGTGGATGGGTTCAGTTCCTTACATCCAGCTTATCATGTTCTGTCTCGCGCGTTGTTCTCCAGTCTCGGTGCACATGATTGGGTTAAGTTGCCTTGCAAGTTCGCTGGCGAACCCCGTAGTTCAAACGACTGCGAGCCAAATTCAGAGGACCTAAAACAAACCCCCTACTTGAGCGCTGCTGAAGAAGAGATAACGGTCAGTCGAGCATACTGAAATCTATGCACATATGTGAAGACCAAGGGATGAATACCGATGGGCTAGTCCTCAGACAAGCTATTGGCGCAGAAGTTTCAGCTCTGCTTCTAGTACTGGTGTTCTGACTAGGTTGCCGATTTGACAAAAGACGAGCACTGGTCAGAACCAGGCAGCGGATGTCTTGATAAGAGATTACCCATCTGGAGTTTCTGTAAGCCAGTGTTAGACACTGGCACAGCCTTGTATTCTCAAATAGTCCTGCTGCTGCACCGTTCACGGATGGATTGTCGACTCAGTTGATAGAGTCAGTCAAATTAAGAGAATGCTCCACATGCTTCTGGTAACTTGACAAAGTCATTCGGATTTCCAGAGCCGTGATGCAGATGAGGAAGTGTAGACACTAGTTTTCGAGAATATAGTGTTTGGCAGGAGATAGTCTTGTGGCGGCGAAGAGGCAATGATCGAGAGGATCAAGGCTTTCGTTGAGAATCTGTACTGCAGTGACTGAATAGTCACTCTTATGTTAGCCGTTGTACTAAGTACTAGTCATCAACATGGTGCTCTATCTGCATCATTCCTTGAACTGAATGATGGTGATGATGATGCCAAAGGACGGTGTGGTGGGATAGATATATAACCGAGTGCTCGGGTAAGTATGTATACAACATCATGCTTATAGCATGCGGAGTTAGAGTTCACTATATAATTAGGTCAGTACTAGTAGTCGCCTGGAATAGACATGAATTGATAGCAAATAAACTTCAGGACCACTTCATGATACCGCCAGAAAGCAAGTTCGGACCAAAAGAACCCAAGAAGGGAAGCCGCTGGGCGGGAGCACGTGGACCCGCGTTTTCTCCGCGTCGCGCACGAGATGACCGAGGGTCTCCAGTATCGACTTCCTCCACCTCCACGCTTATGGATCTTTTGTCGGTCCTTCCGGACTTCCCTACCAAGCCATATGCTCATATTCTCCCGCCTCTTGAGCGAAGCCATATCAGCACGGTCGACTTAATCACTCTTGACATCCTCGAAGTCGCAAAGCGTGCTCGCGTCCCTCCCGCCGATGTTCGCCGACTGTCCGCTCAGATCATAAGAGCTCTCCATCATGATGTCGGTTTCAAGGAAAACAGAGACACCGATGCCGATGAGCCAAGCTCCAGCCTCACTGTCGACGTTCCTGTCTTTCCAGGCCCGACAACCAAGCTAGACTTATCACAGTGGAGCGCGATTAGCACCCTCGACCCCACGTTGGACGCTCTGCTCGATGGCGGCATACCGACGGGTTATGTGACTGAGGTAACCGGTGAGAGGTGCGTATACTCGCTCCCCAGAGTGAGTTCATTCTTATTCGAGAAGTCCTGACCTAACGGCTAATTGGTCACAGTGGGAGTGGCAAGACGCAATTCCTTCTCACCCTTCTTCTGGCCGCTCAACTTCCTGCACCCCGTGGTCTGGGCAAGTGTGCCATATACATTTCCACAGAAGCTCCATTATCGACACCACGGCTTTCGCAGCTGATTGAATTCCATCCATATCTCTCTACCTTGTCTCAAGCCCACAAGCCTTCGCTGGAGAATATATTGTCCATCAATGCCATGGATCTCGAGGCACAAGACCACATCCTCAACTACCAACTACCTGTCGCAATCAAGCGATATAATGTTGGACTCGTGATCATCGACTCCATAACTGCAAATTACCGGGCGGAACATTCGTCCCACAATCTGTCGGGTTTGTCCACACGCTCTGGCGAGCTTGCCAGATTAGGCCAGATGCTGAGGAACTTGGCTGTGAACGAGAATATCGCAGTTGTAGTAGCGAACCAAGTTTCTGATCGCATTGAAGCTGCTGGCAGGCATCCAACACTATTTCGTTCGAATGGCGGTGCCATCTCACCTATCCCTTCCACACAACAGCAAGCGCTGTCGTCACGTCACGAATCAGAAGCTGCTACACCATTACCAAGAAGTCGACCTCTTGAGTCCCGAAATGTCGAACTGACTCCACATAATCCGGCCCTCCAACCATCACCCTCTAGTCTTCCCTCGTCACCGTTCACCACGGAGGATGATCCGCAGCAGCAGCAGCAGCAGTTCGACGGATCATACCTGATTGGCAACCCTGTACGAAACGAGATTTTGAGTCTTCTACACCAACAGAGGTTCTTCACTGGGTGGGGTGACACGCTACAACCTACTATTTCAAGCCTGTACCCAGCTTTTCAACAAACCGCACAAAAGACCCCAGCTCTGGGCTTGGTTTGGTCTACCCAGATTGCATGTCGCATTGCACTGAAAAAGGAGAGCCGCTTCGTGGATTGGGAGGCCATATTAGAGGATACCTTTGTCTCCAGCGAAAAACAATTGCTGCCTACAGCAAGAGAACAGGCCAATGAGCCTTCGGAATCTCGGGTACCAACGGAGAGTGAAGAAAATACTAGAGCACACAGGTCTGCAGTCTCTGCACCACCGGACGAGACCGATGCAGTAGACGAGAAGACGAATCTCAATATCCCGAATATTGTCTGTGATGATCATGCAACAACTGGGCAATCCTCACCATTGTCAACACAGGCAGTTACACGAGGCGTCCGAAGGACCATGAAACTTGTTTTTGCCCCCTGGACTGCCGGACCAGTCACAGAACAAGGCGAGATCCAACACGAGGCGGAGTTTGAAATCTGGAAGGGTGGGCTGAGGGGCTGTACAGAAGATTTTGACACCATATAGCGCGATATTCCCTGTCACGATTTACGACACGAACAATATATTTCTGCCTCACTTTTCTTCTACTTCCTACTTCTCCCTTTGAATATACTTTTTCTATTTGTAAAACCGTCCAAGGCCTTTCTGCTGGATACTGACCAGGGGTCTCACCTGTTCCGGGACTAGCGTCTGTTTTCGGCGTCTGGCGGAACGGGCGCCCCCGCAGTTTTGTTTCCTTTCTTTCCTTCGCCCACCACCACCAACTAACGTTCACTAACTCACCCAAGGTTTAAGCTGCTCAGTGCCCTTTCCACACGCCCACACTATTCCCACCTTAATTTTATGCTTACTTTTTGGGTTGGGTCAATGTGATCACTAGTGTCCAGGTGTCAGCCTCCCGATAGCTTGTTGCTTTCTTTTTTGATGCGGTGGGTCCATCCTGACGCTGTCAGCCAGCTTGGGACTTGCTGAGCTTCTCCCATACCGCTTGTTCGTTCAACCGTTCGGTCTTCAGTCTTCGGTTACGAAGGATGCTTGGTCAGACATACGAGATCCAACTCTGACTGCGAAGTAGCAGTCAGATTATCCATAACGATGGTGACAAAGGTCTGTATCGAGCTCCGCTCAAAAGACAATGGAAAACTAGAAGGTTACTCGATTCGAGCTGCACTGAAAGCGTGAAAGCTGTTTGATGATCATATTACACGATTCCCCTCCGGATTACATTCATAATAATGGACGATTAAATCAGACATGACGTTGGCCCTTCTACACGTTCAAATCCTTACCCCATGTTCCGTATACGCCTTCAGCTCGAAACAACTCGCAGTTGGTCTATGACATAACAACAACAGGAAGTGTCATACCGTGGTCCATGTCGATCCTGCGAGAGCACCACGAGATGCGAAAAAGAAAGTTGACGAGAAAGGTAAAAAAGAATTCCAAGAAAGAAAGAAAAAAAAAAGATATCACTCGTTCTATGTACGACAGACATGCTCTATTTTTCAAGCTTGGCAGGAGGAACTCCAATGCCGTTCGTGTTACGGTAGAAGAGCACTCCGGAGCTCTCACCCTTGGCACCCTCGGTGGGCTCAACCCAGTGGCACACACGGGCACTAGTCCAGAGAGCCTTGAAGAATCCGGTCCAGCCAGTGTGGGCCTCGGTCCGGTAGTGCGATCCCATGACCTTCTTGATGGCCTCGCTGGCCTCATCGGCGTTGTAAAAGGGGATGGTGCTGACATAGTGGTGGAGAACGTGGGTCTCGATGATACCGTGGAAGATGTGACGGCCGACGAAGCCGAAGTCACGGTCGATGGTGGCAGCGGCACCACGGGCGAAGTTCCAGACATCAGGCTGGTAGTGGGGGAGGGTGGGGTCGGTGTGCTGGAGGTAGGTGATGGCGACTATATCTTCCAGTCAGTATTCGTTCCAGCAATTGTGCCAGTTTGTGAAGAAAGTAACTTACCCAGCCAGTGGTTCACCCAGAGGTAGGGGATACCGTACCAAACCAAAAGGTTCATCCAGCCGAACTTGGAGCCGACCAAGTACAGAATGCTTCCGACAATGGCGAGACCGATGTCACTCAGGACAATGAGCTTAGCATCCTTGGCTTCGTACAGAGGGCTAGACGGGTTGAAGTGATTGACACCGCCGAAGTAGCCGTTCTGCTTGCCCTTTCCACGACCCTCAGGTTGACGTTCGTGGTTGTTGTGGCCAGTGACGTTGGTGAGCAGGTACATGGGCCAACCGAAGAGCTGCTGGAGAAGGAGGTTGGAGGCAGTGGCGATGGGGGTTTCCTCCATCAACTCATTGAGTTCGTGCAGAGCCTTGCCGACGCGAGAGGCATACTGCTCGCGGGTCTTGGGCACGAACACCATGTCGCGGGCAATGTTACCAGTGGCCTTGTGGTGCTTTCCGTGGGAGATCTTCCAGGAGAAGTAGGGCACCAGAAGAGCGGAGTGGCAGATCCAACCAACAGTGTCGTTGAGAACCTTGGAGGGAGAGAAAGCCTGGTGACCGCACTCGTGAGCCAAAACCCAGACACCGGTACCGAACAGACCCTGCACGATGGTGTAAAGAGCCCACAGCACGACTCTTGCGGGCTTGTAAGGGACGGTCTCAGGGGTCACGTAGTTGTGGAAGACATAGAAGATGGTCGCGAGCCAGAAGACATCCCGGAAGACATAATACAAGCTGGTGAGAGCTTTGCGCTCATAGCAATGAGCGGGAATGGCATCACGGATCTGCTTGATGGTATAATCCGGGATCTTGAACTCGTTGCCATAGGTGTCCAGCATCTTGCCGCTGGCCTCTGCCTCCGACGCCAACGACGAGAGGGAAGTGGACGAAGGGGACTGGCGAGGGCTGTCCAGCGGGGAGGGGGTGACCGAGCTGGGAACGGACGAATCCGTAGCATTGCGGTGCAGCGCAACGCGCTTGGGGAGAGCTGTGGAAGACATGTTGAAGCTTGCCCACAAGAATGTGTTCTCGAGCTCGAAGACGGTGAAGTCTAGAGGTTGGAAGCTCTGTTAGCCAGAGTTCAACGCCGCGGCCTGTGCAAAGAACAAGTCAAGTGAGGTGCAACATACCAATGGATCAGAACACGGCACCAAAGCTGTAGCAGCTCAAGGTAGGCACTGAATGGAGTTGAGCTCCCACGCGGCGAAGGAGACGAAGGGATGGGATCGGGGGGGGGGGGAAGAAAAGAGGGAAGGAGAGGTAGGGTGACAATCGGAAGGATATAAATGGTCGCCTCCAAAGAGCCTTGACCGGAGGGAGAAGTGGGACGGGGTGGTTCAAAGGGAGAGGAAAAAAAGGCGGATGGACAGAGGCGAAAAGAGTGAAAGAAAAAAAAAAGAAGGGCGATTGTTTGATGATCACCTGTTCAGCGTTCAGCAGAACCCGGGGAGAGGAGGGGGGAGGCAAAACAAAAAAGAAAAAATGAGGGTCCCGAAAAGAGGACCAAAAAGAAAAATTGCAAAAGAGGAAAAGGTAAGGGGGAATAACGCATCCAAGAACCAAACGAACGCGAATTGATTGGGGAAGACTGAATTTCTAGTGCAGTGAAGAAGCAGAAGCCCAGAAGGCAAAGCCATCCAGAAACACCCGATCTGGATGCAAGTCCCGCCGGGCCCCTGGGCTGGTAATTTTGCGTTACGGGGGATCTCCCGCGAAAAATTTGTATTGGGTGGGACACATTTGATTGGACAGGGGCTGCCGCGTTGATACGGGACGGCGTCCCGACTTACGAGAAGATTACGACCCGACAGCATTACACTCTGCAATATTCTCAATCTCATCTCACACTGTCCTGTCATTTTGGCCTACAGAAGAGATCGGGTGGATGGATAACCTCGGCGGCGCTTACTGGAACCATCTCAGCGCAGTTTGCCTTTTGCGTGACATGCTCTACATCTGCAGATGGTTTCATCACTGGCTTGATCGACGCATCTGGCAAGGTAGTAGGAAGTTAATCTGCTTGACTCAAAGCAAGATCATGGAGAATCTGGATACTTGAGCCGAGGTCGACACGGGAGTCTGGTCTGTCCTCTAGGTTGCGGGCCATCCGTGACTGGTTGATGCGATGTATACGCCACCTGTTGCTTGCTTGGAAGGGGGCGGCTGATCCGTCCGGCCTGATTGCCAGAGGCGAGAGTGTCATTTTGCATTCCGGGGTGTGCTCACTGCTGAGGGATTATTCTTTGCCCCCCTTAAGCCGAGATCCTCCACCGCATGGCTCTCTCTCACCGCACGCCAGAAGATCATAAGATTGTGTGGTTGCACTCCTGACTAACCGGCCATGTGGCTCGAGTATTGCAAAATACTTCACGTTCCAGAAACCCGAGCATGGGTTAGTACCAGGGACCATGAACCGCGGAGGCTCACCGCCCCGCTGGAACCAATAGGGGTTTGATTTTAGGCCCCACAGCCGGGTAAGAGGTAGAATTGGCTTCCCAACAATCTTGGCAGCTTTCCCCCTTGGGCGGTAGGCATGAACCCAGATGAAGAATTACGGTTATTATTCCAGTCTGATTATCGGAGGGGGCTGGTCGTTGGCCCTGTGGCATTCGGATAATTTTTACTGGTCAGTCTCACCAGTCACCATGCGAGGACAGATGACACCTCGGATGGAGACGAAAAACAAAAAACAAAAAGAAAACTAACTAGTCAGTATGAATGGGTCGGAGATGATTCGGGCATCTTATCAGAAATCAAGAACTGGAGATGATCCCAGCTGAACTAACTACAGTACATACAAAACACAAAGAGTAGGGATGATCCTTCCCCAGCCAGCTGCTCACTGCTTGCTTCACTCCTCCGCCCTGACAGACAGACCCTGTTGATTTCCTTCAAATCTTCACATGCCGTGGTATGGTATTCTCGATAGATCCCACCAATCAACCAACCAGCCTCTCCCAATCCAATGCGTGCATGCAGATTCAACAGAGGTTTGAACGGATCATCGACTTTCTTACACACGAACGGTCCTGAGCGCGACAAGGTCTGGTCTCGAATCGAATGAATGAATGAAGAACCCCCATGTGATTTCCTCCGCATGCAGGATGTATCTACCGACGTGTGGACAGTAGTGGCGCGCCTTACAGCATGTACGGAGTACAAAGTGTAGTAGTTTCCAGCTCCACGACTCGAACACAAAGCGGCAGAATCCACTTACTGTGTCTTGGGATGGGCTTGGAATGGCCCTTAGACTTTCGGCGGCGCGGGTGGAAAAACTTTAACGAACGCAAGCCCCCCCCCGACCAGCCAGCCCAGCCCATCCAGCAAAACTACTTGCCACAGAAGAGGAAGTTATCGGGTAATGCGAAATACAGATTTAGGGTATTTTAGGGTAAACAAAAAAAGTGACTGTTCAGTTCAAGGAACTGGAGATAATGAGAACCGAAGAAAGGATGATGGGGAGAGAAAGGAAAGTTCGATGCATGTGATTGTAAGATATGGAAGGTACGCCGTGATACCTTCCCCAACTTCTATCCTAGTCTACTTTGTATAAAGAACAACGTGAAATTCCACCCACTTAATCACCTCCTCCACTCAATAATCACATACCTACATACATGAACATGAACATGGACATGAACATAAATAACACACATACATAGTACTTTAACTATACCCTACCCCTAAGTAAAGCAGTAACAAAGCAATATAGCAATACAATCCAAAAGTACTACCAAAAGTAGAATAGTTCAGTTCTGCATTTGCAACGCATGTCAGCATCTGTTGGGACACACCAGCCATTTTGTTGAGATTGGGTCCCGGTGGGGCGGGGGAAGAAGTAGCTGATCGGGAAACAGGGATATGTGGGGGTAAAAAAAAAAGGGCGGGCGCGTGTGTTAATCAATTACCGAGTAAGTTACTTTGCAAGATGGCGGCAGTCATTCAGTCACTGACTTTCTCTTGATATCAGTTATCTGATATTATACTTTGGTTGAAATACTTAGGTTGCTTTTTTGTGTAACATCTTTTTTTTTTGTATATCTGCTGATCAATCGACTTATTATCATTTACTGGAGTGGATTGGGTGGTGAGGTTAGGCGATGTGTGTGGTTGTTGGTTAGTATGGAAGGGAGGGAGGTGTTTGATGTCTATTGTAGTAGTACAATTTCAATGGAGATATCATGCTAACTGAGGTCGGTAAGAGTACTAAGTACTGTAGTTAGTTAGTTAGTATGGTATGCTGACCTTATCTGGTGGGAAAGTATGTGTGTAATGAGTGTATGTATTGTAATGTAGTTATATTTGTAATTTTCTGTATTTTGCAATTGGTGATGGGTGAGGGCGGTTTGATGTATATTGTTGGACTACGTAGTACACTTCATCTTCTTATCAATTTCATTGCGAGCTAATATTACTGTCGATAGTATCATGGGTCCAAATATATCCCATATAGTCTATACAATATACACATGCATTGTACCTGGCTTCTAAGCTATGCTATGTAGGTAGTAGGTATGTAGGAATAATGTACTCTATGAGCTCGTTACATGCAACCGCTCCGAATCGATCAACCACGCCCCGCCATGACTGCCTCCCGACAGTGACAAGCTCACTGTCGTCGTGCGGAGATCGGGTAATACCAGCACGGTCTCGCCGTGGTTGCGGTAGTCGACCTCGCATGGAATGGGTCGGCGCTGCAGCGGTGCCACTGCCGCTGCGGCGGCGGCGGCCGTCATGGACCCAGCTGTCACGGGCTGTCCAGGGTTGGGGCTCATCATCTGGCCCCCGGTCGCTGTCGTCGAAGATTGAGACTGCGGCTGGGGCAGAGACGATGAGGATGTTGGGGATGGTGGCACAAAGGACCTAATTTCCAAACCCGGTAGAAGGAGATGTCCGGCTTTCTGCGGGAGGAGCATGATTGCAAAGGTTTTGGTCTCGCCTTCTTCGGCGGTGAAGTTTCCGCGGCGTCGCCCACCAACGAGCCATGTTTCGGGATTTGCGTGGATCTCGTACGAGAAATCAAGCGGACCGCCTGCGTTTTCGCGATTCTCCGGTGAGCACCACCGTCGTGTATGACGTATGCTGAGTTCTGCAGCAATCATCTGTCCAACTGCCGCATGGGGAGGCTGCTGTGCCAAATTGGCGAGGCGGAGCTCGGCTGTGTGCACAACTTGAATCTCCGGGATGTCAACGGGGATGACGATGTGTCTGCTGCGTACGGCTGGAGAATCTGGAAGGCAGATGACCGGGTGATTCTATTCGGGTCAGACTAGAGAAGCAAGGGAGGCGTCAGTGGGATGTACGGGTGACTTACCTTATGCCAGTCCATAAGCCAGGCCTTCAGACCATCCATTGGCTCCTTCAACGCACTCAGCAATGTCTCCCAGTGGGCATTCGCATACTGCAGTGTTTCCACCTCTCGAACGAGGCCGACAACTTCCATGTCGGAAGTCGACAGCTGTGAGCGGAAGGTCTCAACAATGTGGGATGTGAGCAAACTCGTGTACTGGTGAAACTCGCTAGCTGCAATGCTTGACTTAAATGTCTGCTCGACTGCATATAGACATTCATCGTCCACGCATGTAAAATCGACGCTTAGTCGCAGGGACCGTCTTGCTCCCGGAGTGGGAACGCTGTCTGGCCGCTGTCGAATCTTGTAGAGTAGAGATGCGGGTTGTTTGGCAAATACATTCAGGGCCACAGAATCACCAATACTCGACTGAACTTCATAGATGTCTGAGCTTGGGATTTGGCACTTCAAGATCCGGAGCGGTATCAGCATAGCCGGACTGATGGTAAACCGCGAGAATAGCACACTATCCTTGAAGACATCCTGCACGTTGACACTGATTGGCAAGCCTGAAATGATGTTGTGCACAGAGGAGTAAGTAAACCGCCCCTTCTCTGTTTCGTATGACACTTCGGCCCTTGCAGAGAGCATCGGGTGGTGTTCCTCGACCGTGTAAGGGATCCGGAACCGAACGAACGAGTTGGGCTTCAACTGAGTGAACTCAATGTTTCCCGAGTCATTATGGGCTTCGATCTTTATATCACCCTCTACCAGTTCGGTTTCGGTCGTTCTCAATCGAAGACCAGCAGTGGCAGGTCTCACTCGAAGAGTCCCGCTCTTGATGTCATTCCGTCCACTACTGAATTCCAGCTCTAGTGTTCGTAATTCCTCCAAATTGACAAAGTGCGGTGACACGATCTTTGCCTGAAGGCCGTCCGGTGGCGGAAAACAGTAAATGAATGGCCGACTATCCTCTTCCTCGGCCTCGGCCTCCCTGAACCCCACTGGCAGGGACGCATGCTTCCCGCCTCCAAAAGTGAAAACAATGTTCTTCGCTCGCATTTCAATGCGGTCCACGAAGTATTTACCTTGCAGTGTTATCTAATACAGTCAGTATCTGTCAAGAAAGCAACAGCACAAATAGCTGCGACCCGTACTCACCGGAGAGTCGACCAGCACCCTCGTCGACGACGACTTGATGGTCATTTTGATAGGAGCCTCTAGCCAATGCTCATTACTCTGAGCGTTGTGCGCACCCACCAATCGCAGCTTGATAGAATCAACATCAATGCGCTTTCCCAAACAAAAGCGTAGGTACAGTTGAAGCTGGAACCCATCCTTGTCCTCATAGTGTAAGATTGCAGGCTTGACGTTGATATCCGCAAAGAAATCAGTCATGGGGGCTATGACTTCTTTCTGAAGGGAACCTGAAGCCTTGAACAGCTCCTCAACGTACTCAGAAATCAATGCATTTTCCGCAAAGATATGCGACGCATCTAGCGTCTTCTGCCGCTTTGACAGGTTGGACTCTGTATAACTGGCAAACTTTGCGAGAAGACGGAGGATCACTCGGACGTATTCTTCACTGCGATTAAGCTCTTTCAGACACCGGGTGTACATTTCCAACATAATGCCCTCTAGCACAACCCAGTTCTTACTGCCATAAAACGGAGCAATGTGATGGAAATAAGACGCTGCCGCCCCATAGTCGCTCTGTCTGTAGCG